TCATGGATTGAATTTGAATGACAGGTACAATAAATGTTTTATTTTTGGGTGATTACATGCAAACATTTGATCATATTAGAACAAATACATACTGTGTTTTACTTTAAACATTTAACATACTGTAAAAGCCAGTGATTTCAAATGACCCGAAGTATTGAGAAACACTCATTTTAAGTAAAGAAGTGATGCCTGTAGCAGACTGAATTCACCAAACTCTTTGTGTCAATGTGAAATACTTTGCAAAGCCTTTACTGTAGCCACCTTGAGTTTGTGCCCATTCTTCAAGTGGTCTGACTTCATTTTTTCTTTAGCATATAAAATACATATTCAATTGGATGTAAATCTAAAATAAAGGTCAATTTAATATTTTCCACTTTTTCTTATGAGTAACTCCTTTTTTATGAGTTTCTTATAAGTGACTCCAATGCTGGTTTTTCCTTGGTTGTGGGTACCTGTCCTACCGAAAGACTATTTTTTCCCACTTTATATTAAAAGCTGGTTTTTCTCTAGGACTAGAGAAACTTTCCTCCATCTATGTTCCCAGCAGTCTTGACAAACTTCCAAATACCATACTATATGTTGAGAAGCAGAACAATAACATAATACTTGACAGGTAGGATGGTTTTAACTGAGTGGTACACTGATTTTTGTCTTTATACAACTTTATCTCAGTTGTTTTGCAAGCTCCTTGGTATTCATGTTTGAATCTTTGCTTAAAACTCACTACCTGAGAGGGGGATCTTACGGAGATGGATGTATTTATTCTGAAATCATGTGAACCACTATTGTTACACAGGCAGAGGACTTTCAACTAATTGTGTGACTCGTTACGGCAATGTTGTGCATCTAAATTAGTTGAGGCCTGTCACAGCTAAGGATATGAATACCAATGCAATCATGACTCTCCATTTTTCTTTTGCAGTAGTTATTTATGTTCCTTTTGTTGTTTGTGAATTTTGCTTTGAATGTGTGGAGTATTTTGTGTATGACACTTCATCTACTTATGAGCTTGATGATTTGCTACAAGACCCCTTGGGGAATTCCACTGATGCAGAAATGTCTACAGTATTCCTTGTCTCCACAGAAAATACAATATACTGCTAATATGACTAATATATCATATAACTAATATATTTAGCATATGTGTTTTCTTTCTTCTTTTTTTCACCATGGAATAAACCTATTACTTGTTCTATATCCTGTAACTAATATGTTGCTATTTATGCTTTTAAAAAATATCACGTCAAATTGTTTTCTTTTTCAGCAGAGGCATGCAGATCTATAGAGAATTTAATGTTTGCAGAATTGTGCAAAGAGTGCTGTCAACTGTTTAAGTCTGTATTTCGAGAACAAAATCATACTACAGTAACTTTCAGCCTATGAAAAAGGCATATATAAGATCCTGCAAAGTTCTGAACACCAGAAGACAAATGTAAGCCTTACCCTACGCTCTACTGGTGAATACTGGGATGCAAGTCATGGCTGATGAGGGCATACTAGAGCAATGAATAACAGGTGACAAGGATAGGAAATGTGAACTAAATTGTTTAAGAAATTAACACAGAATATGGCATGCTGTGACCAAGAGACAGGTGTGTTAGTAACAAATGACTGCTGCATGTGATTTAGAGGTTTACAGTGTAACAGAACAAATGCTACAGTACAGTATGTTACAGGATATATTGCTTACATGAATAAACCAATACTTATGTAATTACTTCCTTTTATTCCAATTTTATTCCATTAATCTCTTTAGAATATGCTCCATACATAAAGTGCATTCAATGCAGTGAACACAGGAAAAAATGAAATAGCCATATCCTGAAACTGAGTCCTGGAAATGCATTGTAGAATACAAGACAGTATGACAATTTTCTGCACATGGCAGAAAGTTTAGCACCCACAGTAGTGTGATACTAATAGGGTGGCCATCAGGGGAAACCTTGCTTTCAAGAAAGTAGCTTCAACCATAGGTATGTGATCAGTGGCAGTGAGGCTAGCTTTGCTGCCTTACAGGGTGCTCAGAGAGTGGAGGAACAGCATGGGATGTAGGTTGCTCTTTAAGTGGCAGAGCGGAGGTTAGGAGAATATGTCTGGCACTGTGCTCTAGTAGGGTATTGTGCCAACAGGGTGGCCAGGTATCAATAGCTATGTAATTATTTTGTTCTTTATACAGTAATGAATCATAGTAGCTGAAGTAGGCTCTGCACTGGAAAGCTGTAGGGTTAAAATCAATGTATGTGCTTGGATGGGCACTGAATGGGCATTTTATTTATATGAACATTTCTATTAATATTTCAGTTGGAGGAAGAGGAACAAGTATGTTCTTTGTTTGAATTCTTTTCATAGTGCACATTTGCAGTTGGTGGCTGGATTCAAGTATTCTTTTATTCTTTAAACTTAATCATGCTTTTAAAAAAATATGGCATCATTGCATTACCAGAAGCTTTGATTCTTTAAGGAATGTATGGGATCTATGTAATTACCTCTGTTTATTACCTCAATAAATGTGTATCTTAAGAAAAGACGTACATTTCTATCAACAGGAAAAACATTTAAATGTGTGAGAAATTGTACTGTACAATTAGTGTCAGGCAAGTTAGTAGTGACAGTAGCTGCAATAGGTTTTGTAAAGACTGGTGATAAAAATGGACAAGGTGATGCTTTGAAATGCCAATTAAAAAAGGAAATTGTAATCTAAAATAATTGAGAGTGAAAAGAGGAATTTGTGGAACAAATATGAGTTTCATGAAATGTCTACGAAATGGGTAATGTTAAAGCAGTGCCTGAATATTATTTCTGTAGTTTTAGTAATAATTAGTTTATTTAGTTGTACTGCAATTTTGAACACAGTTTCAAATGTGCATTTACACATTTCACATTTTAAACAAAATCCTTAAAATACAATAATTTAAAATAAAACCTAATCCTTTCTGTCAGATGTTGATGTAGCTGACTGCTAAAAAAACGTTTATCATAGCCTTCTGTTCCAGCAGAAAATATGTTTCACTTTTACCTACCAGATAAAATCAAAATAAAATTCCAAAAACAAAAATATATGTTAATCTCCATGTTACATATTTCCACTGATACTTACGACGTTTTTGCAATTAGCCAACTTCTGCAAAGTCAGAAGCTAATTTTGCTTAGTAATAGAAAACTTTGATAATCACTGCAAGGGTGGTGGTAAGCCTTAGTTTGGAACTAATTCACATGTTCTCACTTAATGAAATGCATAAAGTAATCACTGTTATTTTTTCTTTGTCCTGTGCCCAGTTCAAGAATGTTTTATGGAAAAATGAATTTGTCATAACTGTCACCCACCGTGTTTCAACAAGCAGTGAAACCAGAACTCAGAAGTAATTTCACGGCCGAGAGGAAAATGAGAATGGACCTGCTGGGAATTAGACGCTTCTCAAACAAAGCTACAGTTCATACTTTAAACTGCCTGGGCCATAATAATGGAACAATCATAGAGGTTTAAGTTAAAATAAGTGCTTATTTTAATATATACATTAATCCATACCAGATAGCTTTGCTTGTATGTTAATGACTGCAAATGTCTGGTTGTAGACAGGAGGAATCATTGCAGAATACTATCAAAAAGAACAGCTGACTAAAAGGAGCTGGATCAGAACTAGTGCACACAATAGTGATTTTTAAATTGTTATTGAGGTGTCTTGCTTAATTCAAGATATGATCATGTCTAAGAGTTTAACAAATAATAAAAAGGTTTATTGCTTGAAAAAAGTGCATTTACACACAAATGCATTTGGTGGATGAGAGAAATTCTGACTGTGGTCTCTTTAGGAAATTTCGTAACATACAGTATTACTTTGATTTTGTTTAGTTTATTCACTGAATTGAATAAAGTGAAGTGAGGTGATATAAACCTTAAGTGTTTTTGGACATATTTATTCCCTTTTGGATCATCATTTAAAAGTAAACAACATATTGCTCCTTGCTGATAATTAAATATTAATTAAATAGTGAGAGAGCCCCCCATACTGGAGCAATGGGCACTGATGTTTTATATTGTTTAACTCACATTCTAAAAAGACTCAAAATAATAATCATGACTGAGCTCAGCCAAGATTGCTAAGTTGCTGACTTTATTTAGGACCTAAAGTGGAGCACTGCTTTGGTCATTCAGATTGTCATTGCTGGGAAGGGAATAATTTACCTCATTCACAGTGACTTAGATCAACTAAACAGAGAAAAGTAATCCAAGTTCCACCCTTGTTCCATAGTTTCCCAGCAGTAAATGAAATTTAATGGTTGAAAACAGGCTTTATACGGTATGTGCTGTGGGATCTCTCATGTGGTCTACAGCTCTACATACTCTAATAAAAGTAGGACTGTTACTTAATACTCTTATTCCATAATACTGTCACACAGTTTTTAATTAGCTCCACGACAGAAAGCAATAGGTCCATAAAGCAAGTCTGACACCCACACAAAAAAAATATATTGTTACATAAATACCTGAAGGAAATAACTTTATATTATACTTCAATATGAAAAGATCAATCAGAATGTTTGCTTATTTTGTCATTTGCTTTCTGGTGTTTTCAAGTCACAACTGTCTTAAACTGTCTGTCATTTATTAATAATATATAAATCATGTGTACAGACACACCACAATCAGCAAGCGAAGACTATTAGATGATCACTAGCAATTCTAACATCCAGTCCTGAAAATCAGTATAACATGTATGCAAAATATGGTGCAGAAATTGGCACATTTCACAAAGCTAAAGATTTTTTATTAAATTGTGGTAAACATTTAAGTTTAACTAAGTGCTGCAAAATAATGGGCCTATTTCTCAGTTACGTCAGTGAGGTGGCATTCCAAAATTTCCACATTGGGTTATACAACAAAAGAAAAGCAGACAAGAGTTTTTAATTAAAAATAACCCCTTTTCCCTCCCTCCTCACACCAAGTTTTTCAAACAACATAACAACAGTGAACACCTTGAACAATTAAAAGTCTTTCTTACCGTGTGATGCTGGATTAGTATCAGTCATGTTAGTGGTGACAAAGGATGTTGTAGTAGGAGTTAAAGTGGCTGGATGAAGGGATGGAAAAAGGTTAAATATGAATTAAATGGATGTGTGATGAAACATGTTGAAAGAATACATGGAACAAATACTCAGAAACACAAAGCGCTATTAAAGGACACTTACCAGTTGAGTGAAAGTATTAGACTTGGATCGACATGGATCACACTTAAAACGTAGTGGTGAAAAGCTGAAATATTGATTTAATGTATTTTCAAGCTACTGTATATCACAATAAAAGTAGAATATTCTGAAGACATATTATTGTATTAGCCTTTTAATTCTTTACTTATTCTCTCTTTTCTAATAAAACCAGGAAACAAATTCTAATTTTTCTGCTATGTGTAAAAAATCCAAATCCATTAATTTTCAACATTATGTCATGTTTTTGGACTACTTCAGTTATTATTATGCAGATAAGTTTGTCATCCAGATGTTGCTGCACTTCAGTTGTTAATATTGTGAATCTCCATCTACAGTATATGTTAAGCATTTTGAGATCCTTTGGGCTGAAAAGTGCTATATAAATGCAAGGAATTTGAGCTTTTCAAGAAAAAAGGGAAAAATTACTTGAAAATAAGACATGCATTGTTTTGTAAATTATTAATTAATTCAACATTCTTATTTCATGGTACACCACTCTAGACAGTGAAAAAAATATGTCACACCTCACTTAAACTTTTCAAAGAAATACTTTAAGGTCAAGTTTGCCGAGACAATTTTATTAGGACTTGATGAGTATTTATTGTTATACAGCACACACACTCAGTTTGGACCTAGCTATTGTGTCTTTATGTCACAGCAGTGACAGCTACAGTAGGCCCATGTGTGGGAATGAGGAAAGGCGGACACCATCAACCCACACATTGAGATATTCAACCTTTCACCCAGTAACAGCTCTGCAACAGTGTAAAACCAGCTCAGTGTCAAGTGGTAAAGAGGCAGGTCCTTTATGGATGTCAATGGGAGTCTGCTCCCACTCCAGGAATGTCTCTAGGAGCTCAGAGAGTCCTGGACTAATCCTTTTCCTATCACAGGAGCGCTACATGGGGAATCCTCTTCACCATCACCACGTGACATGAACAAAGCTCAAAATCAGGACATCTGGATCAACAAGCTCAGCATGCACGTGTTGGTGAGCATGATTTCAAAGACCACATGTTTGCTTAATTTTGTGAAAAATAAACATTTTTGTATTTTTCTTTGAATTCAAGAAATTTAAAAATGAACAAATATAAATATATACAGTATACATTATAACACATCATTTATTCAAGATGATGTCTATTTTAGGTCGTCAAAAACTGTGGAACAATGCAGCTCAAATAAATGAGACCTCTGAAGTCCTTCTTCAGAGGTCTCATTAAAGAGGGACCAAACATAAAGAAATACAGTGTGACATCACATCTATTGCTTGAGACATATTTCTTTTGAAAAACGTTTGTTTTAAATTGTTGTTTTGTTTCAGTTGTCAAAAAAGTAATGTCTGTTTTTCCATGTTATCTAAGTAGTCTGTGACATCAATACATATATTGTATTCTGTAAAATGCCATGAATGGCACAAAAAATGAGTAGTCTTCATACCTGAATGATTTTGATGTATCAAAGTTTTGGTAAATGAAACTGAGCTATACATGCAAAGGGTAATTGAGTGCATGGTCAAAGGAAAGCCTACTGTACAGTAATGGTAATACTGTACTTTCCAACTCTGGATTTTTAATTCATACTCTTTCTGTTCTCTAGAAATAATAATAGTACCTGAAGCAGTTAGTTCTTCCTGAGATTCATTATATACATACATCAGTACTGTACATTATGTTCCACACAGAATAGTCACTATGCTGTTGTGAAAGTCTGTATTATGCAATTAAACAAAGCTTATTTTAAATTGTAAGTGAATACATACAGTATATTCTCTTAGCTTGCATATGGATTATTGACTTGACAAAAATATTTAATTTTCCACATAAAATACAACATTAATTCAGCCTAATATACCTGATATGCCTCATCACATCTTGTTCTGTGACTTCTTTTTTATTACTTGATTCCTCCAGTTTAAAATCAAGCTGTGACCACTTTGTATTATAACTGGTTTGGAAAAAAATTAGCTAACAAAAGAGAACATACAGTATACCTGTTTTTATAAACATGCCCCCACTCTGATGTAATCCAAATATTATTTCAAAGCAGTTAGAGTGTTTATGGCTATTCTTTGAAAGAAAATGCTGATCCACCCTGAACAGAATCTTATTTTATTTATGATGCAATGCAAAAATATGGAGGTGACACATTTTGCATAAAGGAAAGTAATTTTAGAAAGATGCATTAATAATGAGGGGTAAACGCTAGCAAACTGATTTCTCACGCCTTAAACCTATTCTCTCATGTTGATGAGACTTACCCTGTCCTATTCTGGAACCATATTTTTCAGTCACAACACTGAACCTTGTCCTACAGTATTCCTCAAATGCATGCCAATAACAGAACATGCAAACTCCATTATTTTCAAATTCTCATCAGGAACTAAGTATGGTACTTATCTGGTTGTTTCTTCATTCGATCAATTCTATTTGCGTCAGTTTCCCTTAGAATAATAATACTGGAATAATATTGATTGTATTTAATAGTTTAAAGCTGAATTACAGATACTGTATTTTAACAATCAATCTTTCAAATAAATTCCATCAGGTAAATAAAAATGAAGGTTAAATTCTTCCTACCTGGACAGCCAAGACCAGATGAGGTACAACTAGCTGTTGGTGCAGCACTAGGAGAAACTATAGATGTACCTGAAAGACAAACCAAACACAAAATACTTATCTTTCTTGTAATAAACAGTAGTATAGCACACTGTAGGTTAAACTAAAACAAACATGGTGAACACATCCATCAATCATTTTATTACAAGGACCTTGAGTTCTGTGTTGGTATTAAGTATAGTACACCACTCAAAAGTACACTACAAACTCACTGTTTCTAAATTCTGCACAAACATATTCAAATCATACATTTCAGCTTGCTTAATCTATGTTTTCTTAGCTTAAATGGTTGCAATAGAAAGATTTATCCATCCACTTTATGCAATACAGGGTCGCAGAGGAGCAAGAGCCTATTCCGGCAAGCAATGAGCGCAAGGCAGGATACTATATAACCTGGAAATTGCAAAAATACTTGACAACTTTTAGGAACCAATCAAACATGGTCATTTGCAGTCTCACACACAGATTCTAAATATACAATATACTGTAAAATTTGTTGATATAACACCAAACATGCATAAGAAACAAATGTAATAGAATACTTGTGTGAAACAGTCTGCAGTGATACGAAAGCCTGATTGTTAACTCGGGGATTAAAAGAAGAAGAGTTAAGAATTTCAGAGCTCAAAATAATTTTGTTTTAAAAATACACCTAGACTATAACATACTGTATGTATTTATCAGTCTCATATACTGTCATTACATTACATTCTCAGATACAAGTTAATATGCATTTACTGTTGTGGACGAAACTATTAAACGTGTTTGGAAAAATTAAACTGTTAAGAATTATAATGTGAATAAAGATGTTTTATACTCAAAGATCCAAATGTCCTTGATGAGTTTAAACTAACAGCTGGAAAGACAGAGCTTGGGGTTGGTGCATGGTCCAGGAGAAAGAAAGAGCTCTGCCTTTTGTTGGGACAGCTCTGTCTAAACTCCCCCAAAGCCCCCCCCTTTGTTACCCTAGCCTCAATGTATTAAATTTAATTAGCCTAAACTAATCACCACCTGTGGTGTTGTACCTTAAAAGCTAGCACTAAAGTTACTTTTCATTGGTTAACACACTGTCCCTGTCCTGTCTCTGCCCTAAAGCTCAAATTCAGTCTTTAAAAGGAGTCTGTGTACAGTTTGTCTTCTTGGGGTCAGGCCACAGGGAAGACAGGAGGAAAGAACTCAGTTCATCCCTGCTATATCTTGGTTCTGAATATAATTGGATATTCAGGATGGCGATTAAAAAGAGTACAACTGTCTTATTTCGTTGATTAGGCGAAAATAACAATGGGTTTACAATTACAAGGTTTATTCTATTGCAGAAAGAATATCTTGGGCAGAATTCTGTACTTTAGTAAAACACTCTCTCAACCTGGCATCTTGGAGAAAAGTTAGTCCTCGTTCAGACTGCGTGTAGTCACATGGTTGGAAAGTCAGATTGCCAGTTCAGTTGAAGGAGGATGAATAATTATCTGAGACTGATAAAATCATAACACATTACATTGTTAGACAAGTCATTTTTAGATTTTAACTCTGAAGTTATTAACTCTGATCTTTGTAATCCCTGCGTGAATGATCAGCCTTTTGTATCACAGCAGACTGATTCACAAAAATATTCTTATTATGTTTGTGGATTGTTATGCATGTTTGGTGTTATATCAACAAACTGTATATTGTACTGTATAGTACATGTAAAATCCATTTCTGAAACTGTAAATTATTATGTTTGATTGAATCCCAACTGAACAGTCATCAAAGTACTTACTGTAAAGTAATTGTTACAGTAAATTAAAACCATCTCTATTAGGTCCCGTAGTCATATAAGGAATTTTAAGCAAATATTGTATGTACTGTAAGTAAAGCCGTATAAAGGCACAAATCAGGAAAAGGATATTAAAACATTTCAAAGACCATTAATATCTTTTTGAGCATGGTGAAGTCGATCAGTAAGAAGTGAAAGACTGCCAAGATCGAACAGACCCTCCGGACTGAGAAGCCAGGCAAGGAGAAAACTTGTTTGTGATGCCACTGTGAAGCCAACAACAACTTTGAAAGAGTTCAGTGGTTGACATGGAAGAATGGTCCATGGTCCAACAATACTTGGTCACTGCACAAAGGACTCTTGCACCTGAGTGTTACCGCAAACATGTAGTAAAAAGGTATTGTGTTCACACAATTAGACTTTTTGTGACTAAATACAAAGTGTTATATCAGAAGCAAACCCAACATAGTATATCACTCAGTCTAGACAATCCCTACTGTCACGCATGGTTGTGGCAGTATTATATTATAGTTTTCCTTTTCAGCAGATTCCTTGAATGTTGAGAAGACTAATATGAACATAGACAGAGCAAAGTACTAGTAAAGCTGCTTCAGACCTAAAATTGGGCCAAAAATTTAGCTTTGAGCAGAACAATAATCCAGAGCTGCACCAGATCAAAGCTCCATTGGAATTGTTTAAAAATAAGAAAATAAATGTCTATGGATAATCAAAGTTATTCCATGAATTCTTTTGAGTGTCTGTGGAAACATCCTCAAGCAATGTGGGAGAGCATGAACAAATCAATAAAAGCCAGTGCGCAAACGTGGTAGAGACTTACACAAAAAAGCAGCCAATGGCACTTCCACCAGCTATTACTGTAAGTACGTGGGTCTGAATAGTTAAGCAATCAACATACCTGTATATAATTGTTTTCCCTAGGTTCTGTGAATTATTTACTATAACTTAACACACCCTTCAAAGTCTTCAATTTGAGCATCCCAGTTCTAAATAAAATATTACAGTAAGTTTAAAGAATGGGTGTGCATCATTTTGTAATTTCACGATACTATTGCAATGCACAGTACTGACTGTACATAATTCTTTTAGTGGTGTTGAATTGATAGAGGGGAAAATTATTCATTAGACCTACATACAGTGTGGTTATATTGCAGTACTTTATTATATTGCAGGCAAACTTTTTTGCCAGCCACGAACAATGAAAAAGATCAACTACCATACATTGTGGAGTCTTGGTTACTTACAGAGAGTTACTTCATTTCTAATAGAGACAAATAATTACAGTATTTCCAAGCTGAGAACCAAAGTTGCTCCGGAATTTGTCTCTTAAGAGGCAATTTGAGTCTTTCAAACTGAGAATGCAAGCAGTGCTCACAGAAGATTCTGGATTGTAAAGTTCTAACCAGAGACCAAATGTCACAGAGAGTTGTAATAAGACTGGTTTTCTTTTCCGATCAGTGATTTCTAATTGCCAATCACAGAACCCATGTTATAATGTATAATATTGCGATTTAACTAAAATTTGACAACACAGTAGGACACATACTTGATGAATTAAGCCGCCTATTCACAGATTGTGACAGTAAAGCATTACTGAGGGAGGAATGACTAGAGGTGAAGTGGTTTTTATTTAGAGGTATTGCAAGGGCTTTTATTTGTCAGACTATATTTGGTTCACCAGGTTAAACATGGTTGTGTGTTTTGCACTTTACTTATTCCATTGAGTACTAAGATGTCCTCAGCAACATTTCTTAATCACTTTATCATACAATGTAAAATGACTTCCTTGTGCCTGCTTCTGTTTTTGTAATGATTTTATGAGGGAGGCTTGCACACATCCTCTGATTTAAGGATGCAGTATTATGTTATAGTCACGTGAAGTGACAATACAGTCGTGCATGAATACAATACTTAGGAGAAAATCTGTAAAAACTGATGCTTATGACTTAATTAGGGGTCAGTCCAATGGATGGGGTAAAATTTCTTCTATCTGTGATTTTCAAGAGTAATAAGGAAATTTCTGCCTAATTTCTTCACATGAAAACATCAATTTCACTTGAAAAAGTGATCAAGTATACTGTAATGTAAGCCTCTCACCTGAGTTGTGTTTTCTTTCTTGTCTTTTCAGCATGGAATAAACCTATTACTTGTTCCTTTGCAGCCTATGCATGCTGACTCAGCTACCCACCTATATCTCGACTCGTTTGATAAAGGATAGGATGATGAGGCTGGGAGACATTTATAATCTTCCTCTAATGGAAGCCTCCTCCTTTTAACCATGACAGGGTAAAAAGATACATCCCCTGTACCCAATCCAGATAGTCTTAAAATGTGTTAGTGGAAGGTGCAGTATCTAGCGAGAGCTGAGAAATAATATTATTATTTGCCCTTCAGCGATATTTGAGACATTTTAATCAGGAGTATATAGACATTAAACAAATAAAAGAGGCAATACAAATCACTGCTTTATTACATTAGCCTAACATTAACATGCTTAAACAATTTAATTCTGATACAGTGTCACCTGTTAACTGTAGGTTTAAATGTTTTCTGAGGTTGTAAACCACAAGGAAACCACTTTTTCAGGATTTTTCTGGAAAAATAACACAAGATATTGTATTTGGCCAAACGTTTGACTGATTTACGTATTACACCCCACCTTTCTGCGAAAACAGTGGGTCTTCCTGGAAAAAGATGGAGGTCATGGAAACACAAAGACAAACCAGGGTCAATTTCCGTTTGGTTTGAAGCTAACCCAACGCGGTTTATAAGGGGGCTGTTGATGTCTTCTGGGGGTGGATCGGTGCAAGTTGGCAGTATACTGGGTGTTTTCACATCCCATGCCAATCCTTCAGATGATGGGTTATTAGTGGTAAGGTTAGTATCTGCATGGTTTGATCTAGGCTGATCCTTTGGAACTTTAGACTTCATGTCAATATGTCTTTCTATGCAGGTCAATGAAAAGGAAGTTTTTAATTACTGTCTGTGAGAGATTTTGGTTTCAGCAGTCATTACAGGATGACAAATTGTGCATCAAAAGCCTGAGTGCAAAATTGAAAATGACCACAAACATGCTTTTAATGCACCAAGGTACAGTATGTGTATGTACTGTTCATAAACATACTGTATCTATCAAAATATAACTGCCTGCTGAACAGGCCTGAGCTATCCAAGGAGCAGAAAGCTCCAGTATGACAAAGAACTCAGTCTGAAATATATCATAATTGTGTCTGATAGTTTCTGATTTTATGTTACCAGCAAAGCAAATTCTCCAATGATTCCAGCCTCAGTTTATCCAACAGACAGTTGGTACAGGTCAACCTGTCTCATTGATTTCAATGAGTTATCAAATTAAACACACTGTTATTCATGCTGTAGAAAATTAAGGACATGCAAAACACTAGTTTACACTGTCATATCATCCGTTTTACAAGCAATTAACATGCAAGCACTTCCTCTAAGCAAGCACTTTGTTAGAAGCAACTCACCACGAGATGGGGTAGCTGTTGTTAAGTGTGAGCAACTTGGGTAACAGACTGTAAAAAGAAGATTAACAATTAGTGGGATCATTATACAGGTCACTTAATTAAAACTGCATGTAGTAGCAGCCATGGTTATTAAAGAGACAGACACAAAAAACGTTAATATCGAAACAGCTCTGTGCACAATTAAGTTAAAATAAAAAAATATGGTCATGCCATATTAGATATCACATTATCTAAGTGATATCAAACAAAATTAGCATAAAATATTTGAAAAACATAATGAAAAATAGTTATATTCAGGCATTATAATGTTTAGATTTGCCAGGGTAACTTAAGAAGGTTATTAATGGCAGATTCTATAACGCTACACTATCCACACCCAAATGCTGTGCATACTTCCAAGATAAACACTTGAAAAATGTTCAACATAACAGACAAGCTGAAGAAAGACTCTGAATAATATCCATATCCACAACTATGATGGAAAGCAAATGTTACTCCAGTTTCTACTACATGACCCTGCACACCACAAATTAAAATGCTTGTTAGTTCGGATAAGTTGACAATCAGTACAGTATGTGCCTTGACATCTAATGTTTCGGGACCTCTATAGATGAAATAATATTTCCCTAACATTAAGGTCTGAACCTTTTTCAAGGAGGTTTTGAATAAGTAAAAGAAATGTCCAGTTCTGTAGTTCATTTACCCTGCAACCACAGAGTTACAAACTCTAGTGAGCACAGTGCTGGCAGAATTTAATCTGTCTTTCAATATCTTCCTGTAGAGAGAATTCTAAAGCTCCCACTCCAAAACCATTACATTCAGAGCTGTCACACACAGTGTTCTTACTCGAAACACTCTTTTCAGTATTATCCATTAAAACAGCTTTTCCAAAAAAAAATCCAACAAAATCAGTAAATTGAAGACCTCTTTTTCAAGGCTCATTTCACTGTTTGCACTAGACAGCAGACAGAAATAAAACGATAATAAAAACTAATAGATGTTCACTATGTATGCTTTCCACAGAAAATCCAGGGTGTAAGTATTTACACTCATTAAGTTATGATTTGTCATAATTTAATAAGGATTGCATGCATCTGCTTTGCTTGTTAAAATTATTGTTTCTGAGTGCTGTGATGACTGGGTCTCTTGGTTTCACTTCATGTTTATACTCTAGAAGACACAGTGCAATAAAATACAGGCATAGCTCTGTTTATTCGGGTACTATAAAATAATCAGTCAGAGCTCCATTCTAACTAAGACATCTGTTGCTACTAAAGGAGAACAAGACGACATTGACTAAAAGTGTTTTGTTTGTTTCCAAAGTCTTTAAGAAGTGAGAAGATTAACCCAATGCACTCTGCCTTCAAGATGTACAACTCTGACATTTTTAATTAGCCTTTGCCTCACACTCTGCTGAGATTTGCATTTGCAAATATTCCATCAAATACAATTTTTGTGCAATTGTCAAGGTTTATATTACCAAGCTGAAAAGTATCTCATTGTATGTATCCCAGTATTTTGGATTGTAGAGGCTAGTGTTCAGAGGTTTGATGTAAAATAGCTCATAAAATTATCAGTGACAGGATGTGGCCATTTGGTCCATATATTTCATCTGGTTAATAGTGGTTAATTTTAATTCGTCATGAATAAAGATCTCCATCAGCTGTTTCATGAAAGAAGCCATGGTACTGGCTTCAACCAGTAGCTTGTTACAGACTCAAATAACCACTTATGTGTAAAGGGGCCCCAAGTTTCAGTCATAATGTGCCTGTTTTTTAAATTTTAAAACACACTTCCCCTCATTTTCCAGTTGAGACCTGTGGTTTGTGTTTACCTGTTGATTCTGAAAAGCTCCACTGGGACTTTGTCAGTTCTTTTCAGGGTTTTGGAATTTGAATCAGGACCTTTTGTAGTTTTATCTGTTCAAGACTAATCAGTTTTTTTAGCCTGTCAGAATAAGATCTTGAGCTAAGTAATATATACAGTAAATGTGTCCATGAAGAATATTGGTGTGAAAGTTCAGGCTCTGTGGATGACTGGAGTATCAGAGGCAGTAGAAAGAATATCTGAAGCACCACAATAGCTTCTCCGAATACAGAGAAAGACATTTTTCCCATTACAACCAGCTCATCTTATGTTTTACAGTTTTCAATCAATATTCATAAACCACAATGTCTCCTTTATGATACTATTGGTGCTTAACATGATAGTATTTACAGGGTCATTCATAAAAGCATTTATCATCTGGAAAACATAATTAATTGTAGCATTAGATTGACTTGCTAATGATAACTAATTTTATCACTAATACATTATTATCTCTATTCATATACATATTTGATGCCATTGATTTTCATTTACTAGGACCTCAATTACAATGTGATTCAATTCACGTGGAAAATCAGGAATTTTTCCCTACTTCAATTCACATTGTCATAAATATGCACTGATCCAAAATCCAATAAGAGAATAAATTTTGAACACATATACATGTATGCCTACTTTTCATCATTGGAAATTGCTATATATCTATAAATATATTGATAAGCATTCGTGAATGAAATACTCCTTGTTTACTTCTCATTTGCTGTTTGTAATTTTTTTTTGTTAAGTGTTCCAGACTGTACATTTGTGTTTATGATGTATTACTATTATCATAAATTGCCAGACTTTGAATAAGCATATTCATAAGTTATCAGAATCTATTTTTAAATTTAACATTAACAGTTCACTTGCCATTTTGTTTAAAAACAGCAAAACACTGAGATCCATCCATACTACTACTGCTTGTCAAAAAGCTCATCTGCATGCTGCTGTACCAGCAATTGCTTAGATTAGCTTATTCTGCAACTGCAATAACTTAAAAATATTAACAGGCAGCAAAGCAACAAATGTGTTTCATATCAAAGTATTTTGTCACACTTCCTTTGAATTAGGTTTTATGCAGTAGCATTATTATTTATGAATGTTATTACATTTTTGCAGCCTGCATAATACCTTAGAAGAAGGTATATACTGTTAGTTGTTCTAACAACATGCAATGCCAAAGACTATTGTTCCTTATAACATAACAAAATATTTATCACATTTAGCAAATTTCATGTATTTTTGGTTTATAGCTATGATTACTGTTAGGACAGGAGTTAGGGTTGATATTAATACAAGGGTTTGGATCACAGTTAAGGCATTAAGAAAACCTATTGTATGTACAGGTATGAGTTATGTCTTTTGCTAGAATGGTCATGAAAGCCTGATTCAGAGTTGAATTCTTAAATGAGATTTATTTTCTATAAATAAGATTCTTCTGTTAATAACCTGAATTGAAAATGGTATAAAAAGAAAAGAGACTCACCATGAAATTCAACATTAATGTCTTAACGGGCATAAAACGTGATTTTAAACCCCAATTTCTAAACCAAACTTTCTAACGAAAAAGCCTAAGAAAAAATATTTAGGCACATGAAAGCATGTTATATACGTCTAACCTGCGTAAAGCATGCAATATCCATTTCTATAAGAAAACAAATTTGAATTACTGTATAATAACTGTACTGGATGTCAGAAAATGGCCTGAATATTAAATTGAGTATAATTAAACTGTATACACATAATTACCATATATATTATTTATAACACCAGACTGTACAATCATTAACCTTATAATCTCCTATCAAAGTGCAAAAAAGGTACTTGATAAAATCTGTGACATATACATTTTCTAAACCTAGAATAACAGCTAGAGGATTCAACTGCTTCTTATATTTGTTATATTATAAGGGTATACTTACTACAACTCAATGTGCTGTCTGTTTTTATGTAGGATGCAGGGATAACCCAGAACTCATTTTCCCAATCAAGAATGCTTCCCTTTACATCACAGGTGAGGGAAGAAAGTTGCTGTTTGCTCTTTGCAGAATCCCACAGTCTGAAGTTGTAAATGTCTCCAGAAAAGGCATCCATATTCCCATTTTTGGATCCGAGAACAAACATCCCATTGCTTTGTGGTATCTTCCCTTTGGTATTTCCACAAAGAGAGGTTTTATAATTCCCTCCAGTATACACTGCAGTGTTCCCTGTTGTACTATCCCATGTAAGACAAAAAAGGGTCATCTGTAATGAGAAATCACTCTCACTCAATATGTTTGTTAACATGCATGTCTGGTTCAGGACAGTTAAAGCAGTGTAGGTGCCTGATATTACGAAAGTAAGAATGTCATTAGAAGAAGAGTCCATGTAGGAGTAAACCATCCAGTCTTTGTTGACTCTGCCGGATTTTGCTGCCTCAAAGCAAGTAGTGAACTGGCGAAGAACAGGTATGGTCACTTGAGGTGCGCTTTCAATATATGCTTTATTTTGTTTAAGTGATACTTTCTGATTCCTCAGTGACACAGCAACTGTTAAAGAAAGAGAAAAAAAAACAGATATACTTTAGGAAGACATTGTACATTTTAGATGCATAAATGCTCAGAGAGCAAAGCAATGATAACAGAGGTTGGTTTTATATAAAGTATTATTCACTGAGCAACAGTTTCATTTATGAGAAATACAGTATTTCTGTAATCCAAGATGCCAGTTTAGTTTGAACATCATTTAGTACAGCAATTTGCAATACACCAGTCAGCACTGACATACTGGACCTGTTACACTGATATCTGTCACTCACACTGTCCTAACTCTTTAGTAATTGCCATTCTGAGCTGAGGGTACTTACCTATAACAAGCAGCTATCGACTGCTTTGCTAGTTTCCATGTACTGTACATTGCTCATTTTGGATATGTTACAGGTCTTTTTTTACATTCCATTTACATTTTTAAGTAATCCATAATATTCTTTTAACATTCAGCTAATACAGACCATTTAATACAGTTGATATAATAACTTTATGTAATAATAACACAAAATGTCTTATTGTTTAAACTACTGCAATACATTTCCTAAATATATCAATAATGATATGAAAACTGGTATAAACTAGTTTTTAAGAATGTGGTTTAGAAAATGCAGCAAAAGCTTGCCTTTATAATCATTATTCTGCTTCCTGTTTCTCTGCAACTTCTGGTGTTAGATTACCTCTGTGTTAACAGTTTCTATTTGCCTCATTTTCTCCCCAAAATATTGCATGTCCTACCATTAACAGCTTAATCCCCCCCATCTCCCCTCCCTTGTCATGGATTAGAAAAGAGTTGCAGGTAAAAATCAGGGTACAGTCATGTCATTTCAAATAAGTCACCTTCTGATAAAAGCACCTCTGCTTTGTAGTCCTGTTTGCAAGATTTAAAATCCAAAATCGTCTCTTACTCTGCTTGTCTACAGATTGTCTGCCAGGATAATTACCAGCTCCTAACAGAAGCTTTAATTCCTGCCATAGCCGCCAGCGCATATGAAGCAGCACTGCCATCAAAGAAAATGTCACTAGACAGTTTGGTGCTTGGGTGGTAGAGGTTTATGGTTGTTAGATTAGGACATAATTACTGAGCATTTAAAGGTTGCCTGTAGTGCAAATTAATAAACAATACTTTGAATACAAAAAGTGTGGCCAAAATTATTCGTCACATTTTAACGCCACCTGTCCAAAATGTCTCTCCATCCAAATATCCGTTCATCTGTCTATCCATTTATTTTCTAACTGCTTTATTTGACACAGGATCTCTGGGGAGCCGGAGCCATAGATCAATTTCATGGTGTTAATATGATTTCAGTGTTTGTCTTAACAGTGGTACGTGACTATCGATGTGCAACTGGTTACAATAGCCCCAACTGTGACTGTACTGTAAGGTTATCTTTCGAAAATTGACTTCACACTCATACAAGATATGAGAACATAAGAAAGGTAGCAAATAAGAGGACACCATGTGGTCCATTCACATCTTATGTTGTCTTTCTACCCGCCTGAACATTATCAACCGAGCTGAAGGTCAAGAACAATGAGGACTGATGTCAAAAGCATCAGTGTGTAGAAAGGGAATCATGTTTCAAAGAAGCTGTAAATTATTCAAACTCCCATGGAAATTACAATAACTCTCATTTAAAACTATCGCACTTCTATGTCTTGGGTAGGCTACAGAGGTAATGTTTTCCTTTGAAGACTTACAAAACACAAAATATTCCCTTCAATTTTATGACAACTTTTTGTTCTTGACACCCAAGAGTTAACTAGCTTCTTTTGGCAGAAACAATGCATACACTTCAATAATTGCTTGAAATAATTGCTATTCTTTAAAAAACAATAATTAATTTCCCTATCAGTTGTTCTGACAATCCTAAACAAACTTACAACTCAAAATTTTGTGATAATTCACATCATTATGCAGAGCAAGCACAGTTCAAACCAGATTTCTTGGCTAGATTTACTGTTTAACAGTATTTGAACTATACTGGCACAGAAAAAAACTGAGTTATTTCCAATGTATTGGCTTAGGACGTTTTCTGTAAAATCTTTCTCCAGACTTTGAATTATTGTGAAAGTATAGCTTGAGCAAATTTCCTGACACATTATTTGTAGTTGGAATCCTGTACTTCCACTGTTATGATCTTTCTTTGCTGATATTAGCCCTGTTTTAAATAAATTATTTTCAAGGATTAGGAGGGCGCTGATATTTAAAATAAAGATATGTGATAGTTGACCAGCAAATTCTGGTTTCTATGAAACTGAACTTTCATTGAGGCCGACTAGGAAATGTCCTGATAATTCCACTCTATTGCTTAATGACTCTTCCAATATTTTAAGTAATTGTTTAGAAGTCAGTTTTATTCAAATCTGTAAGATCTCCATTTTTTTGTGAATGGAAGATAGCATTTGAACCTTTCTCCTGTTTTTACTGTACTGTATATAAAATATCACTTCCAGGTCAACGTGTCATGGCAGTAGAGCATGCTATTATAGGTTGATGTAACAATACAATTGTCAAAAAATACAGAAGTGAGGAGTGAAGGCAAACCAAAATATGAATTAACAAAATATATATATATGCATATTTAAGACTATAGTCAATTTAACTAGTTAATGAATACTGGATTCATTGTATAATACATACATGAACATATAATAAGCTTATATCATCCTACTGATTATATGCTTTTGAATGCTACAGTAAGTCCTATTCACTGAAAGGGAATAAAACAGGTGCTTTCCTACATTTAAATATAGTAAGAAACCACTTCTATCATGGAACTAGTGTATTTTATCTTCAGTTTTCAATACACAAGAGAAACATTAGGGGCATTGCAAACAAACACAAGAGATGAATAATGAATAAAAACATTATAAAATATGTTTTTTATGATTTATAAATTATAAATAATTAACAAACAATAATAAAAAGCCATGTACACAAATTATTTAAAGTAATACATAAAAGTAAAAGAATAATATAGAAACAGATCCCAAAAGATCAACAATAACAAAAACAAAACAAAATTAAATAAAATGTGCCCGTTTCTCAACATACCTTGCCTGTAAGTGATATTGAAGCCTTTCTTTTGTACACTAAAGTCAGAGTTAAAAGATACGTTCATTACGTTCCCGGTGGAGTTGAAGCTCAAGCCATTGGCTGTAATGCCACAGAAGGTGACTTCGCTCTTCCCATTGCTCACAATGACACGATCATAGATGCACCCCAGAGCTTCTTCGAGCTCGAAATCACGGAATGTGATCTGCACGATGAATCCTGCTGGTGCCTGCAGAGTCCACTTGCAGGCCTGACTTTTGGGGTACTCGCTGGGGTAGCATGGGGACGTAAAAAATCCTGAAGAGGCGGTGAGCACTTTGTTGCAGTCGACTTGACAGCTCAGTACTGCTGAACCAAAACAGGGACAGGTCACTTTCAAACTGAGGGCCAAAGGAATGGCAAGGGACAGAGGGCGTAATGAAGACTTGAGGAGCACAGGTTTCAGTGCAAAGCTAGGCTAGCAGTTGTACAGGAATTATGTTAGTGGACCAGAATGCAGAGCCAGGCAGAAAGAAACAGGGAAAATTCAGACTTAGTTTCAGTAGAAATGCGTAATAGTCAGCAGTCTAGTCTCATGATCTATGCTTTTCAAAAAAAACTTTGCCTATTCAAACTAGACTGCACATTTCAGCTTTTTAAAATATACTACACACTAGAACGTCTGGGAATGGAACACATAAAAATGTGTAAAAACTGAATGATCTCTAGTTTAAATACATAAAAATGTATTTAAACAAATACTTTTAAAGCGCACATAACTTAACAGGTAATAAGGAGACTTCTTATTGAGTACAATTTTAATAACCTGGAAAGCAGTCTTATTTCAGCAAACAATGACTTCTCTTCATCAATGCCAGCATCTCAAATGAGCCAAAACCACAGCAATCATAAAGTCAAATATAAAAATCCAAGAAAAAAAATCCCACTGTTGAGTAATTGAAATGCATCCAACATAAATAACAAGACCACTTATTTTGCTAATTACTATTAAACAATACAGGAAAGAAAATGTGAACAAAATAAAAACAATGGTTTGAAGAGGCTTTAAGTTTCTATAATACCAGAAACATGGCTATAAAACTGAAAATGAATAAAATGTCCCCATTATTTCTAAATTCAAACATGTGGTTTGATTTACGCAAAAAATGGCCATTGTAACATTTTATATCTAAATATGAATATGTTCTTTTAAAAATAACTTCCTAAAACTAGGCGAGAAGGATCTGAGGAAAACAAATCATGACTTATTTCTTTGTGAGAAAAGAAAGTCTTTTTCATTCCTTAGCTTTTCCAGATGAATGTTAGCGAACAAAGATTAAAAAAAGTAATGGCAGAATTGGAAGAAAAAAAAATATGCAGAGTTTGTGAATTCTGCTCCTTTTTTTAAAAGTGAAACTAGTACTCATTTTTTTTTCTTTTTATTCAGTCCACAGCCATAACATTTTTTGTTTTAGAAATGCATGTTAATATATCTGCTTATGTACCACAGTACATATGTAGATAAATGTTTGAGTAATCATATTTCAAGAGGATCTTCAGATTTCAGTATGAAAACATGTTGTCACAGTCGTCATCCCTCCTCTAGAGTGTGTTTCTACCTTTTTGTTGTGTTCCCAGTTTTGTTTGTCCCAGCTGTGTCTTATCACCTTTTCCATATTTAAGCCCAGAGTCTCCGTAGTTCTGGGCTCAGAAGTCCACCTACCACCGGGCACAGGCACTGTCCTGACCTACTAAGTCCGGGGCTCGGAGCGCCTTGTATTCCTAGTTCCCTGTTCCCTGTGTTCATCTTGGATGGATCTCCCAGCACCTGGACCCTGGACTGCGCCCTGACTTCCCCTATTGGACTTCTTTTTGGACTCGTTCGCCTGCACTCCCCCCATGTACCAGATCATGGTCGTCATCACCCCCTGTGTTTCTACCCGACCTGATCCTGCTGTGTCTTCACTGATGTCCTACTCCAGTCACTTCCGGATTATACCGTCTCGCATAGGGTCTTTAACTATGCATTTCACAGGAGTCAGAACCGATGACCGTGACACATGTACTCCCTTAGAAAGTGACATAAAGGATGGTGCCTTCTGAGATCTCATTTTGTCACTCTCATGCAATAACTTGATCATAAAGCCAAGACCTTATTTTATCTTTTACTGCTCATTATCAGAAAGTCCAGGTGAGGGTTGAGGTAACCTGGAACCTTCCTAGAATCACTGGGCACAAGAAAGGACTGAATTCATACAGTACGACTATCCTGTTCTGTACTCTGGATGGGATGACAGTCCATCACAGGGTCACAGAGAAAAGGACAATTTGGAATTGCCAACCATACCTAGCCAGCATGTCTCTGGAGGTGGAAGTAAACTGGAGAAAACTCACATGAAAGCAAGAAGAACATGAGTCCCCACAGAGGAGTCATGCTGTCATCCTGAAATTAAACTATTTGCCACTTATAACAAAAGTGTTTTGGGAAGGCTGGTTATTCTGTTATACAATACAGTATACTACCCTGTTATTACATACTGAATTCTGGACTGATGATTTCAGAGGTACCTACCTGTAGGACTATGCAATGCTCTGGCCATCAATGACCGAGTTGCTCCTAGGCTTGTTTAAAATTGAACGTTTGTGAACTTTCTAAGAGAAAGTAGATTTGTACAAGTGTGCATTCATTTCCCCCCTGGTAGGAGTAATCACTTCATTTTACGCTACTTCAGAAATTTGTCATTTGTTTGTATTTTTTAGAACACTGACATTTTTTATGAAAATTAGGACATTGATGAAATTCAATCATTTAGAGGTTCAGTTACATGTAGACGAGCAGAAATAAATAACCAGGTTATGAGTTTCTTGTTCTCTATTGTCCTCTCTGCTTATACAAATCTTAAAGCTTAGCTCCATGTGATAACTGATATAACTCTAGTGATGTGGATGATAGTATTATACTTGTGATGAAAAATGATCAGTCTGAGGCTACTGTACGCTTTTAAGCATGCTTTTACATTAGTGTGCTTAAGAGCATGTGCTTAAGAGTATATGCTTAACACAAAGCAAAAGGCTGAGACGACTTAGCCACAATCAAGTTACAATATACAGTAAGTATCAACAATTTATTGGGGGATTCGTGTTTTCTACCATTATAATAACTTTGTTATTAATACAAGTTAGTTTGGGTCGCATTAATCTGAATCTACAAAATACAGATCTATTAGGATTAAGTCATTTCATTTCAAGGATACTTTACACTATATGTAATGCCAAAGACAGTACTATAAGTTAGTAGGTAACATTTGGCCCAATAAAACTTATAGACATTGCATTAAAGTGGATACATTTAGGTTTTGGACTGAAAACTGGTTAGACAAGTTGGTCAAATTCATGATGGCTAATATGTAGACTGTAGTTGACCAGCAGATGTTAGAAGTACAGACTGAAAGGTTAGTGTTTCAACTGTCATTTGTTGTCATTTTCAACTGGAGAGCCATTTAAATAGTACTAAATGTCATTAACTTGAGTTAAATGTTATTGCATCATATTTCTCTAAATTGAATCAATCTCTTTCAGATTAATTCTGAGTTATCATAAAATACATTTTTTAAATATTGACAGAGGATACCTTGTGAATTTATCTGGGACCACAGAGCAACCAAGAGAACTGTTTATTGGAAATAAGCCAGAGAAGCTGTGGTTCCTTGCCAACATGAAAGGAAAATGCATCACATTGTATTAGAGGTAGATGGACACATGGTAATAGCCAACAGAACTAGAAAGGTGTCCAGGTTTTCATATGTCTTGACATTCCTTCTGAAGTTCTGAGTTTTTACTTGGTTGTGAATGAGACATTTGTCTGGTAGAATCACAATGCTCCACTTTGGTAAATAACACCATGAATTAGAAAAGGTAATTACTTTTTTTTTCAGATTATAGAGCATAATAAATATGTTCTGCTATCCATAAATTGATTTCCTCTCTGGATTTTCATTTAAGAATTCCAGTTGTTTTGTGATTTGTCAACAAAATGTTTTAAAATATGGAAGCAACTATTTCATGATATGTTTAGCAATGTTAGCAATGTGTTCAGAGTGCTAACATATACCAATTTGTGAGTGTTTAGTTACTTTGGAACATGTACCAACAAGGAATAAGGGACGTCTGTTCAAAATTATTTATTTTACATCACACAAGTTCTTTAAGACTCCCTCTTCGGCCATCAACAAGCATGCCATTTCCTGTTTCTCCCAAACTAGCACTTCATACAACCTAGCATACAATAGCTTCCCGGGACTTCATTAAACAAACTCAGTTTTGAGACTGTTTTACAATTTTCATTATTTGAACACAATGTATTCTCATGGTTTTGTAAGGTGTTAACAAAATCCTGCACAAGTCTGGTGGAAAATGGACAGCAGCTGGTGTAATTAAAGTATAAATCTGGTCATTTTGTATTTTTATTAAAGAACTACGGTTGCTTGAGTAACATGATGTTGACAGATATACAGTATAGCATGATGAAGGAACGGTAATATACCAGTGAAAAGTCAATGATGTGATGTGGCTTCCAGATATATTCTGCAGCGGTTATCAATTTTCTAATAGCAGTGGGTGGAATATTCAAAGGCGTGCTAGTAATTTTCAATGGTAAATTTACATCTACCATATCAAAGAGGCCTAAATCATACAATTGCAAAGGCTGTTGTTTTTTACAGGTTTTAGAAAATGCCACAAGATGCCACAATACTCTTTACCAAACTGCAAGGTATACGAAACCAAAGGTTTCACTTTTTGGTTTGTGAAACAAGCAAACCTTCAGGGTGCTGCAGTCAGCAAAATGTCTGATACCTTATAATGCAATATGACTATAGATGTCTACATATGCGTGATCATTTACTTTAATATATGAATTATTCATTAAATTGGATAATATACCTTTTCCCACATCACAGGCTATGCAAAGTCCCAATGTCGTTAATTTACAGAAACTAAATCCCACTGAAATTGTCACAGTGTGGCGTTATTTACATAATCCAGAATGTCTGAAATATCATACAGTATAATTCGTATATTTATAAGGAAGAGCAGCAAAGCTGTAACCCAGGAATTGGGTTACCTTATTTTTATGAAACCAGGGCAACTGGTGTATGATGTCACTTGAGACAATAGTCATATATCCTGAAACTGTTATTTCTAACAAGGTTACAGCACTGTGACTTTGCCAAACCTCACTATTTGGGTTCATCAGGGGCTTTAGACTCCTAACTGGAAAATTGTAGGTTAAAAATTCCATGATGTATGCTGCTGTTGTACCCTTGGAAAACATGCTTTACTCTGATTTCTGGGCAAAACATCCAGCTTTA